TTGTAATTCTTGTAAAAAAAAAATTCTTACATAATAATTCCTTTAAATTATTTAAGACAAGTGAAATAGGGGAAATAATCACTCTCTTAATATAAATATGTATATATCTACACATTTAATTGTAAATGTCAAAACAAATCAATAATTACTTTAGAATATAATGAAATTGTTTAACGCTATTCGTGTTTACAACATGTTTTTGTCTATAATCAGAATTTAATATATCGTTATCATAAATGCTAGAGTATTACAGCATAATGAAAGTTTTTTAAATCAGAGTTGGTATAAAACCACAATTTTCAATATCATAGAAAAACATTCAGAATAACAGCCTACATTTAACAATCCATTAGTCTTTTAGTTCAGATCATATATTTTTAATTAACTACTTTTGTTTTGTGTCCTTTAAAGATCATCTTTAACATAAATATGTATGGGTTAGATCACTGTATTGATCACACACCATTTTACTGGTATGCAAAAACAATATTCACAGAGTTTTACGTTTAAAAAGCTAATTTAATTTTCTGGCGGCATGGTACTTTGGTACATCATTACGCGTTTTTCTACAGGTACTTAACAGATCAGTTCGGGGTGGGTTGGGGGGGGGGGGGTGGACGGGGGGGTTCAACTTCATTCACCACCGTCCGGTCACTTTAGGTCAATTATCCAACCCAATGTATACCTAGGTGTGACATTAATGTCGCTCTAAACAATTGTGGTGGTGAGGTGTGTGTGTGTGTGGGGGGGGGGGGGGGGAGAGATAACCAACTCAGAGTGAACATAGCGTCAGTTTTTAGATGACTGTTCTAAACATACATATATATTACACAAATGTATATTACACAAATATATATTACAGAAATAGATTTAAATAAGTAGCAGTGGTATTATGACAATATTTGTTTTTACAGAGGGGTCCATGAAGGAGGGGGGGGGGGGGGGTTGTAACTGTTTCATATAATTTGTAATCGTAATCACTATCACCCCACCACTACGCAGTTTGCTTATAAGTAAATTTAAATAGAGGTGCCACATCAGTTGTATTTGTTTCTGTACTGTAATTTTAAAAAAATTAATCACACGATTCAAACTGTATATATAAAGTAATAATGTGTGAAGTTTTATGTATAACATTTTCTAATTCAATTATTCGTAAGCAAATACATTATACACTTGCATTAAACTTAACACCCTTCTTGCCAAGTGGTACTACCCGTAGAGGCTTTTTAAACATTGCAATGCATCGTAATGGTTATTTTTAGAATGGCAAACTGATGCAGCTGTTAATACGTGTTGTAAACGTAGACACTACTAGACTAGTACAATAATGCTTAATGGTTGCATGAAAAGAAATCTTCTGATTTACATAGATGTGCCGACCAAATTTTTTTTTTAATATCATTGTTTAAAACTTTGAGTTTAAAAAGTTTCCTAAAAGGCGCCACTTTGTTGAAAATGGCCAGAGGGGGAGCGGCCGCTCCCCCTGCTCCCCCCCTGCGTACGCTACTGGGTGGTACACGTGTCTGTGTATAGGCAAACACGGTAATCTTACACAATTTCTAGAATCTACTAGATCTACACAGTCAAGCACTCAAACACGTGCTTTTTTCTTAAGAAAGTTGCTAATTGTAAAAGGCCTACTGGCAAGCTTACAAAATACATAAACCTACTTACTACTAGCATAAACATTGGGCATAAATATAAATTTATGTTATATATCTATAACTTAACTATATCTTGTGCAAGTTTAAAAAAAAAATTTTCCTCCAAAGTTTATTTTATTGACATTGTAAAAATGATTAACTTTAATATGGGTAATAATATTACGTAATTACCATAAAGCACACTCTGATTCTGATTAGACACATTTGTAACTAGACTAATTCTATAGCAAAAAGGATTAAGATATTTAAAATAACAAGAAATATAATTATAATGAGATAGGCCTAAATTTTGGAACAGAGTAGGCCTTTAGTATTGCACATAGATTACATAACATCTTTTAAGAAGTTACATAATCACAAATTTACTATAGCCTTCTTCTCTTTGTATTGAAAAACTTGATTAGTTATATTTTCTTCTAGTAGGCTATTAACTTGAAGTTAACTGACAATGAGCAAAAGTGATTTTAAAACAAATTCATGGTATATTTTGAGAAAAGTGTGGGATTACATAACCGTAACATTTGATAGTTATGTAACAATGTTGGACCATTTTAAATCTACCATTAGCTTCAGCATATATAAATGTCATATTATAGATTAAAATAGCGTTACATTTAAAGAATGACTTCTTATCACATTGATTATTAGATGTTTTAAAAAAAATTGAAAGGGGGGTATTACATAATCTATGAGATTAGTAGGTAGAGTAATCGAAGGACACTTTTTAAAATAGCATCATTGGATTCAGCATACAAAAATCTATAAAATGTCTTAAAATTACATCAATTGATAAAGTATTTTGGCTTTTATACCACTTTTAGTGAAAAACGCTTAAAAATTTGGTCCATACCCTCCCAGTATTTTTCCTCTTTCAGGGTCTACCCCGGTTGTCTGAAATAACTGCTGTTTTTTAATGACTAAAAAATTCATAACTTTTTTGTTTATGGTCAGATTTTGAAAATTCAAACTGATCTGTAATCAGATTGACAGCCCCTATCCAAATATGTAACTATTTTATTGTTTTACTGAAATTAAATTTTTGCATTGGCCTAGCTATAGATATTCTCATAAAATATTAATTTCAGTTATTTTTCTTCTATTTAAACAATACCAATGAAAACTAGAGATATATATCTCTAACCAGCTCATTAGGGGCTAAAACACATTCTTTTAATTATTGGTGACATACTACATACAGCTTAGCTGGGAAAAGTTTTTCCATGACAACCATTCGGAGATCTGACTCCTAAAGTTGACATGAAAATGACCTGGGATGTTCGTAAGGATCAACTCAAGTGTGGGGAGGGATGAGTGGAGGTATGCTGCAATAAATCATAATCTAAAGGATTCTCATAACTTGGTTATGTAACCTATTTTCTATATTTTTTTAGGTTAGGCCAAATGAAGAAACCAAAAATAATTAGATCTAGATCTAGTTAGTCAAGTTAGTGTTAGTAAGTGTTATGTTAGATGGTTATGTTACTGTTAGACAGGGTTAGTTAAAGCAAGCCCATTGCCATTTATTACTATTATTTTATAGTCCGATTCTAGCCGGAATAAGATCGCATGCGCAGTAGAGAGAAACTAGGCCTACCGCGGCGATGTTTTCGATGGTACTGCGCATGTGTGTGTTTACAACCGCAGAACCCTAACACCAGCCCTAATCCTATCCCTAATCTTATCCCCAACCCTACCTAACCCTATCCCTGCCTAACCCTAACCCTAATCCTATCCCTAACCCTCATTCTAACCCTAACCCTAGCCATAGGCTACTGAGCATGCGCAGAGCTATCTTTTGCCGACTAAGTGGAGACGTTGGGGAGAAAAATCTTCCGAGAAGTCACTTCGTATTTTATATTACTATCTGTTAATGTAAATATAAATAAACTTGAAAGCCTAAAATTAGGCTAGATCTAGTATTATTTCGATTAGAATAATAAAGAGTTGTTAGATCTAGAAGATTCTAGATCTACTTGTTAGTAGTATTGTAATCTCGACTAATTTTATGGGTTGGGGTTAGGGACAGGGTTAGCATTGACATAAGCCAGCCATGTGTGTATTTAACTAGATTTCTAGATCTAGAGTAAAGTTCCACGCGCTGTCACACATAGCGAACTCCCGACTTTCATCGACTTTCATCGGGCGCTATTTTGTAACCGTTTAACACAGAAACAAACCCAAAGTACTATATTATTCCTCTGCCTTTCTACTCTTAATATGTATCAATCATTTTATATTCCTACGCATTGAATTTGAGATATTCATGTTTTAGTGACGTGCTACTTGCGATATTTTTTCCCCTCTTTTTTTTTTCCCTGCGGCCATCTGAACCGGCTTGCGTAACGATCGTGTTTTATACGTTTTAATCCTAGTTTAATAAATAAAATAAATATTTTACACTTTTAAACGTGTTGTTGATTGTATTTTTAATTAATAGATTTCAAAACCAAATTAAAAACATGTTAATTAAATTAATTAACGACATTAAAAGTTGACCCAGTGATGACTCAAGGGACGCAACTATAATAATCATAACAAAGGGACGTAACAACCACTGACAAGACATAACGTAACATTTGCTTAGATATGCTTGTATGTAGAGACACAAACTAGATTTAGAAGAAGTAGATGATCGAAATAATTTAAAACAGCAGAAAAAAATAGAAATTATACAGATTCTAGGCTTAGCTTGAAATGTAGAGCATCTAAAACTAGGCTAGTCTAGCTCAAGTCGTTGGTTACGCAGCGCGGTGAAACCACCCAAATCGACACCCAAGCTGCGGCCACCCCTATTCACCTATCAGGTTGCTTTATTAGCCTAATCTATCGTATGTACAGTGTCCAGCACATATTGTAGAAGCTATTTATAGTTAACCTAGTTATAAAAAAGCTTTGATTGGTTGGTTTATTCATCTCATCCGGGACCTAGTGTTTTTCATATGGGGAACTAGAATCGCCTTCGACGTCATACCTCGAAACTTTAAAATTTAAAAACTCGACTTCCAGAAGGAGAAAAACAAAAGAATTTGACCTGGATATATTTAGAAATGGACAGGTTTACAGCAGATATCGGTAGTTTCGTATAAAACATCAAAACAAATATTGTACGAAGCAATAAACAGGCGATGACCGCACCGGTATTTTAACCGCGCGTGGAACTTTACTCTAGATCTAGATCAGTAACTGCAACCTAACATCCCTTTTTTTAAAGAAGATCCCCCCCCCCTATTTAATTATTACTTTATTTATTAGTTAGTTACGGTAGGCCTAGCCTAGGCCCTAGGGCCTAGGCCCAAGAATTAATAAAATTTGAAATGAGCAGTTTAAACGTACTAGTTAGGTAGAGTCTAGATGTACAGTGGAGTTATTGTTGCCGTTGACAAAGTAAAATTCCATAGATTTCTAGACTGTAGAGTACTGTCGTGTTTGTAGAGTGAAGTAATTCTCTACACCGATTGTCTACCACCACACATGATAGATCGTCTAGGCCTAGGCTAACTCATTTGTGTTTGAGGGGAAAAACTATCGCTCTTCTGTTTATGAAAACAGAAGAGCGGTACAGGCCAACAACTTTTTTACTTTCTCGTATATACGAAGTATAGAGAAAGTCTTGTAATCGTGCAAAAAAAAAAAAATCGAGATTTTTACAAATCTCGACGTTTCACACCTCACTGATACGGAAAAACATAATTTTGCAATCTTGTCCGTATGTCTGTGTGTCTGTCTGTGTGTCTGTGTGTCTGTCTGTCCGTGTGTAAACACGATAACTTGAGTACCGTTACAGCTAGGTTGATGAAATTTCATATATAAGTATTTAATCAAAATCGTAGATCCGTATCAACTTTTGAGCGATTTCCGATAACCGGAAGTGGTACTTTTCCTACTTTGAATTTTTCAAAAGCCTATAACTTGAGTACTATTTCAGATAGATAAATGAAATTTCATATGTAAGTAAAAGATCTAATTCTCTACCTTCTATTAAATTTTGAGTCATTTCCGTTGACTGGAAGTAGTACTTTACGCTACTTCCGATTTCTCAAAAAACTAATGTAAATTTTAAAAGTACTAATAATATTGCGCACCATTATGCGCTTTTTTATTTGGCGTTCACTTGGTGTGCAATTAATTTGTCTACGAGATTTTATTCTATTTTTAAAACTTTAAGTATTTAAAATGGATTAAAAATCAGACGAGTTCCCATCCCCTGTTATTTTATATAAGAATATTCGAGAAAGTTTAGGGGAGATCACTCCCGGTTTATTTTTTAACGAAATGAAAGGCGCCAAAAGGTGGCTCAGTTACGGTCGTCAACTAGCGACTGCTGTCGAAGTCCGTCTGGATTCGATTTTTATTTAGCCAATAAAAGTGTAAACCTGGCTAGTCTATACTAGAGTCTAGATCTAGATTTTTTGTAAATGTATGTAGATCTAGAATCTATGTATACGTTGCCAGTGGCGTAGCGGGGTCGGGTGTCACCCGGTGCGGCACTTAAATGGTGCCTCCCCCGGGGACAAACTTTCAATGTTCGATTTGCACCCCCCCCCCCCCCCCCCGTCAAACTTTCGATTTGCAAATCTTAAAAAAGACTATTTAACACACGCTCGAATTAATCACTTAATTAAGTGGAATTATCATTTTTCTCTATACATTTTGCTATTTTTTGCCTTGGTGTCACCCCCCTAAATGATGTTACCCGGTGTGGTCCGCCCTTCCCCCCCCCCCCCCCTCCTCGCCGCACCTCTGTAAGTTGCGTCAATGATGTCAGTGTTGCGGAAAGTTTCTTCCAGACGTCTCACTGCCTACTTCACACGGTTTCAGTTTATTTCCACTCCATCGTATAAGATGTCTTTTAAAGCCGGACACCACTATGAACCGCATCCCCCCCCCCCCCCCCCCCCCCCATCTTCCCCCTTACAAAAATCATATTTCTAAAGGCTAGGACCTACACTGAACATTATTATTTTTTAATGAGATTATCGGTAAAAGTTACACCCCTTTCGTCCTCTCACACATCGTCACAAAAATCTAACCCATAACCCCTCCCCCTTACTATGAGTATGGTGTCATTAATGCAACCGATCATAAAAAATTACAAGAAAATGTAATTATTTAAATTTAACGTCTAACATTTCGAAAATCAAAAATGCGAATAGACAATTTACGTTGGCTTATAAAGGGAAGCTACGCACTTTTTAAAAAAAGAAGATAGCCCAGTCCTAGGCTTATTTTTCTTTATTGAGATCTCAGTAGAATGTATTTGAATGTAATCTATAGATCTAGAAATCTAGATCTAGAAATCTAGACTAGATCTAGATCTAGTATTTAGTTAGATTTTATTAGATCTAAATCTAGGTCTAATTATTATTAGTCTAATATTACGAATAATATTCCAATTACCAATACCAATGTCCGGTAATCTATCGTTTTGGGTACGTAAAATCGCCCGCGGCTATTAATGTACGAAAACGTTACCTCATTGTCAAGGCTGTAATAGAAGTATATTGTGATATGTTTGTGTCAAATATTATAGATACATGAATAATGAACCTAAATCAATGGCTAAATATATCAATATAGGCCAGAAATTGACTTTAATTAAACAGCAGTGTCTGCAAGCAAGATTTGCTATATAAACAGCAGCCATTTGTAAAATAGAGTGACTTCCGCCTGAATCTCGGCTAAAAGTCTATAAAAATAAAACTAACAAGATGTCTGCTATAGTAAATGAGCATGGTTGCATCTGTTGGAAACATCGCTGGTGTTCATTTATTACTGAAAAGTTTTAATTCAATTGTTTAAAAACCGGTACATAAATGAAACAAGGAAATATTTTGGTATTTTTCAAAACATAAATCCTCCTCAAAATGTGAAATAATTATTAAAATGTAAGGAGTCACCTGTTTTTCACATTACTAGTCGCGGGCGATTTTACGTAGCTAAAACGATAGATTACCCCAATGTCCGATAATGAAATAGACTTCCATAAAAGAGGAAAAATAGGTGTGTTTGTTGTTGCATAAATCATTAAGTATGTGTACTATCGAGATTAGTAAAAAAAATTAGTAGATGTAGAATCTAGTCAGAGTGGGAAAACAAAGACTTAAGGCAAATAACAATAATTGTCAAGAACTCAAACTGGTGGGGGGGGGGGGGGGGGTCAGAAAGTATTTAATTACTTTTTTTTTGGCATTAAATTAAAAAATCAAAACTGATAGGCCTATTTGTTATTTATTTAGACATCATTACGCATTTTTATTTTTTAAAACACTAAATTCACGTAAGCCGTTAATTAGTAGATTTATATAGTATATATATAATATAGTTAGGCCTGGATATATTCTATAGCCTAAATATAGATCTATAATCTATAGGCCTATAAAAAATATAAATTCATAGTTGAGCAAATTTATTTAATTTATTTGTATTTTAATTTAGTTTTATAGGCTAAAGAAAATTCCCTTTTTTAAAAAATTGTAAGGGGGGGAGAACTATATAATTATGTGTTTGATAAAAAATATTAATAATGGATTACCCTTGGGGCTAGCATTTAAACCTTAAAAAAAAATTAAAGCCCATAGTCTGTATTTAAAGTCAATTTTCAATATCCAAAGATCTGCTTCTGTGACCCAGTTGTGTCAACTAGTCTTTTACTTCCTCTGTTGGTACATTGCAATAATCAATTTGATCATAGACGCTGTTCAGTTTGGGGGTGAACTATTTTTTCCTAAATGGGAGGGCATGGCCTAGCGGTAGAGAACTAGGCTGCTAACCTGAAAGTCTTGAGTGTGAATCCAGGTTCTAATCAGAGAATGTCCCTGAGACCACCCAGCTGAGTCCACCTAACTCACATTATGGAAAACAAAGGCAGCTGGGCATAGTGCTGACCACACTATCCCTTTATATGTTATCTGAAGCAGATGAACTCTACTTCATCTGCCACATGTGTCTTGGGCACATGCAAGAAAAATAATGATGGTTTTCACAAATCTGATTACTAATCTTGTGACATGCACTAGCACAAGCTTACATTCCGAAACTACCTCTTTAATCTGTGAAACACAATCTTCTAACATCATACTTTCATTATGGGATTGATTTGTACACATCAAAACATAGTTATAATCAGTGCAAAAAAACAAGAAATAGCCCAAAATCAATTTTAAAAATACATTCAGTCTTAATTTGATCAGTAACCTTTTTTTAATTATGTTGTAAAAAAAACTGAGATTTAATTTTGCTATCATTTTTGTTGCAGAAGTATGTGCAAGTATGGATCCTACGTATACTACTGGTGATCTACAAGATTTAATCAACACTTATAATGACTACAAGTCAGCTTCAGAGCTTAAAAATGGCCACATACTTTGCCTGTGGCTGGATAACGATCAAATATTTCCCTACACTTTCAGTGAGCTCCAAACTTTGGCTGATAATTCAGCTCAGAAAGGAGACTTTACGCCATCCTACCTTAAGGAAAGCTTATGTGTCTTATGTGCCAAATATGCAACATTTACTCCCGAGGAGAGCTGGTCAAAAATAAAACTTTTTCTGAGTCAACCTTTCTTTAAAATTTATTCCACTAGACAAAAAACAAATGTTGATCCAACACATGAGACTACACAAGTGAAAAGGGAATCAAATTCTTCAATGCCAGATTTGCCTGAAGGAATAAGACAACCATACGTTATAGTTGAAAGACTTAAGGACTTTAAATATTTAACAGATGATTCAAGAGAACTTAGTAGTGAATCATTAGCAATCCAGAAAGATTTGCTGACTCAAAACTCTAATAGCCTAGTCCTATCCACTGATGAAGAATCCATGTCATCGATCGAAGACGTGGATGAATCCGTAGAGGAAGTTCTGGAATCTGAAGATTTGGCTAAAATCAACGGACACCTAGAGGCTAAACTGGGAAAGTATGACAAGGAACTTAAAAGATACCAATCCTTACAATTAAGAGCAACAAACCAAAAAGTTAAAAGGCTCCAAATGACCCTTGACAAGCAAAGAATTTTAATTAAAAAATTACACAAGCAGAAGCAGACTCTTGAAGTGTATTGTAAAAAAGAAAATGAACCTTCAGAGCTCTATAGAAAACAGAGTTCAAAGATAAAATATTTAAAACAAAGATGTAATGAAAAGTTGAGAGAGATTAATGAAGTTAAAATGAAGATTACAGAACAGCCTTCTGTAATTGCAAAGTTGCAACAAGAAGTTGCTGACACAACTAGAGAGTATGACATTGCAGTCCAACATTTGGAGGAGATTAAAGAAGGCATTGATCCATGCTGAGTCAGATGTCAGTGTTTTGGCTAATTTGTATGACATTGTGCTTCAGTGTTGGAGCTTTCACTAAGATATGTGACATTTTTGTTGAGTCACTCAGTTATGTGACATATTTATGCAGTCACTAAGTTGTGTGACACTTAGTGGAGTCACTAAGTTGTATGACATTTCTGTGCAATCACTAACTTGAATCACATTTCAGTGCATTTAGTAAGTTGAATGACATTTCAGTGATGTCATTAAGTTGTATGACATTTCAGTGCAGTCACTAGGTTGAATGACATTTCCGTGCAGTTAGTAAGTTGAATGACATTTCAGTGCAGTTAGTAAGTTGAACGACATTTCTGTGCAGTCATTTAGTTCAATGACATTGTTGAGGAAACCAAGAAAGGGAGGTAATGCGAATAGTATTTTAAGCACAGATTTTTTAAAAACATGTTGATTCTCCTTGATTTATTAATAAAAAATTACATCATGGTTTCTCAAACTTTAACCATATGAGAGATTGTGTCTAAACAGAAATTACTTTTATCTTTATTGTTGACTGCAGTGATCTTCTTTTTAAACTCAACTATGCTGTTCTTTAGTGATGTTTTATCCTTTAGGCAAAAGCTTTTGATTTTGTAAGATACAGTATTGTATGTATAACAAAAAAGTTAAAATATTTTTGAATTTTTTTTTCTGTTATATCATGGATGATGTTTAAAGATTGGTTGTTTTAATGCATTAGGTGACAATACAAAACATTTTAAAATGAAATTGTATTGTTTGTTTGCATATAATAGAGTTGAAAAAAATGTATATTGTGTTAGTTTTTTCAGAAAAAAACCCATAATATTTTATTGTAATTGGTATATACTGTTTAAGATGGATCAAAATTTCTGATATGTTCAATTTTTGCATTGGATTTGTTGATAATTGTTATAAAGCAATTTCTGTTGGGTTTTTTTTTTTTTTGGAGTTTCGTGTTTTAGTTCTCTAAAATTTGGCTGGTACACGTGGTCTAACCTGTGACTGGTAAAAGTACAGGAGGAAAGTGACCCTCTTCCTCTTCATCCCCCCCCCCACCCCTCCTCCTGGAGAAAAATGTCTGAAAGAAACCCAGGTGGTATACGCGTACTGCTCGAACACGGGATTATTTCCCTTGATTTAACCAGAGGCGTAGGCTTGAGGGGAACAAAAGGAGTGACGCTCCCCCCCTCCCCCATCCCTGGGTTTCTTCCACACATATTTGCTGTGGTGGGTGATGTGTTGAAATTTTCATGGTGATAGGCGGCGACGGACATTGGTTAAAGTATGCCTATATATAGTCTAAAAGAAAATTATACTTTTTTTCCTATTCCGTTTTTAGTAACGAAAACGAACATTAAGGTCCATGAACGTGTATGCTGATAATATAGTAAAACATTGCCGCCATTCATTAGTGGCGTCACTAAGACGGGTGTCTCCCGGTACGGTAACATTCAGCCTAGCGTCATCCCTATCAACTACTCGTTTTATTATTTTTAGTGTATGAGCAAAAACATTGTTTACTGTCAATTTCTTTTTCTAGGGGGGGGGGGGGGTGCGAACACTGTTAAAAGTATATACTTTCGACATAACTTCCATTTCGTTCGGGGGCGCTAGACTTTCTTCGAAGAGTTGCCTGGAAGAAACTGTAGAAAAGGGTGTATTTTCAAAGATTGTTACGTTAAAATCATGAAAGTGCTATTTTAGAAAAAACTGCGCTTAAACTTTTTTTTTTGAAAAGTGTGACTACATCCGCTGTTTACAATAACCTACACATTAGCGAACTTAGTTTTAAGAACTTTTAAAATCTGAAAACTGTTGATTAGTGACACGGCTTCCCCACACTATACCAGGCTTTGACTGGGGTATTTGCATACAAAAAAATATGGCAATACTAGCTACGGTTAGTCCAAGTTTTGCCGTCATAGCAAATAAGTTATTAGTTATCGATTAAGTACTAGTCTAATATTAATATAAGAAAACCATTTTAAATTATTAGTTTCTTTCAGGTATTAATGCAGCTCATCATCGCCTTTCCCCCCCCCCCCCTTTCATTTCTTTTCCCCTTTCATCCCCCCCCCCCCCCCCGCCAGAATGAAGGTAAATGACTTACTTAATAAAAACATCAGAGTTGAGTTTAGAAAACTACATCGCTGCGGTCAACCATAAAAATAAAACTTATAGAAAAGACCTAGGCTACCATCCAGGAATTAATTCCCCTCCTCCCCCCCCCCCCAACCCTACCCACTGGAGTTTGACGTCATTAATGCTCGACCTCTTACACCCGTTATTTCAGCACAGTTTTAAAGAGAGAAAAAACACCCATTATTAATCCACCTGTCTTATTTCAAAACAAGGCTTAAAACAAGGACGAATTTTAAAATAGATTATAGGCTTTTTATTATAAAAAAAAACTCTTCACAAAGGTATTTAATTTCATCCCTGTTGGATACAACTGTAGACTCCAGGCTTCGCTGTTTCCCTTGTCTAGTAGATCTCTTAGACCAGACGTGATACAGATTAAATCATGCGCTGGTTTTATAGATAGACGAAAAGTGGAACAATACACTATTGAAACGATATGTGTTTTTCAGAGTTTCTTCCAGGCACCCCCCCCCCCCCCCCCCGGAGAAAAAAGTCTGGAAGAAACACTGGTGTTTTTTTCTTTTATAGATCCGATAAATCAGTCATGTTGTTTCTTAGTTACTTATGAAAGGGGGGAGGGGGTAGCACTGATAGGTTTAAAAATTATCATGTAGTGCTGAATACGTTGTATCGAAAATTTATTTAGTTTTTTGTTTTAAACATATTGTAAAATTTAGTTATACACTTACTTGAGTGGTATAAGATTTGTAGTTAGGTATAAGGAGTGTTTCGGTTTAAGGTTGAGGGTATAGATCAAGTCTAGAGTTTGTATTATGTCTTGAGTTATCTGCCGGTGATCTATTCTCTAATGCTAACTACAGCTCTCCAAAGATCTCTGTTATGATCTATTCACTAATTCCAACTAAAACCCTTCAAAGATCTATTCCATGATCTTTTCTGTAATACTAACTACAGCTGTCCAAAGAACTTTGTTATGATCTATTCTCTAATTCTAACTACAGCTCTCCAAATATCTCTGTTATGATATAGTCTCTAATTCTAACTACAGCTCTCCAAAGATCTCTGTCCAGAGAGCTCAATGAATATAGAGCTTAATGAACAGAGAGCTTAATGAATAGAGAGCTTAACAAACAGAAAACTTAAAACAATATGTGAAACTTACAAACCGCGAGTGTAGAAATAATTGAGCACAGTACACATACATTTACACATATACATACAAACCTGCACCTCATCTACACGTACACACACTACACATACACACCTACACGTACACACACCTACACTTACACACACCTACACATACGCACACCTACACATACACACCTACACATACACACACCTACACATACAACTACACATACACCTACACATACTCACACCTACGTATACTCACAAATACACATACACCCACACATACACATACACACTACATACACACATACACCTACACATACACACACACCTACACATACACACACCTACACATACACACACCTCCTTCTCCACATACCTGCTGGTCTAGCCGTACATGTACTCTACTCCACAGTGTCACACAGTGCTGGTGCTACTTGTCTCTGTGACAGTACTTCCCTGTGCTCACTCACAAACTGACGAGGACACAGCAAACATGACGACTGTCCCCCAAGAAGCCACGCCTGGTGATTCTTCATTCGGTAGGTCAACTACGGTCAGCTTAACCATTTCAGCCATATGCGCCCGAGATTTTTCTGGTGCGGTATAGTCTATGCGCCCAAATGCGCCTGAGATTTTTCTATTGCGATATAGTCCTATGCGCCCAAATGCGCCCGAGATTTTTCTATTGCGATATAACCTATGCGCCCAAATGCGCCCGAGATTTTTCTATTGCGATATAGTCCTATGCGCCCAAATGCGCCCGAGATTTTTCTATTGCGATATAGTCCTATGCGCCCAAATTCGCCCGAGATTTTTCTATTGCGGTATAGACCTATGCGCCCAAATGCGCCTGAGATTTTTTTTTAGTTCCGTACAGTCCTATACGCCCAAAAACGCCTGTTCTACTTTTGTATTAAAAGTAATGCACAATATTCTGCTTCCGGTTACATTTTGTCTTAATTTTACAATGCACGTGGATTTTAAAATTAATTAATCCAAGCAACAACCTTTAAAAAAAACAACAGTTATTTAGAACCAGACTGTAAAGGGTTAAGTGAACTAACAGAATTCTGATAGCGTCATTAAATGGCGATGGCGTAACTCTACCGCTTAAGACGTGAAACAACAAGCTAGGACTGTTTGGAATTTATTCGCGGTCAGATCTCTAAATCTTTGGAGACAAAATCAATGGAGGGGGTTTACGTGTTAATTCTTCAAATGTTTGTGTGGTCGAACGGTAGGGAGTTCGTCTGCTAATCCAAAGGTCTTCAGTTCGGATCCCTGGCTGAGTTACACATATGTGATGGTGGCGGCATGGTTGAATGCTAGCTGCTAGTCTCGTGTTCTGGCTACATGTTATGGTGGCGGCACGGTTGAGTGCTAGCTGCTAGTCTCGAGGTCGGGCTTGTGACTGTATGACGTCATGAGTCCACCAAGCCCTGAGACAAATTATGGAAAAAATGCAGGGGACCATTTCTTCATATGCCGTGCCTAATAATGCAGGCTTAGTCTTCTATTTTGCCATATGGACCGTAAGCATCGGAAGGGTAGGCCTACTTTATTTTTATTTAATACTTAAACTATATTGACCCCTAGGGTACTTAAATTATATTGACCCCCTATGTTACTTAACCCCTCGGTTACTTAAATTATATTGACCCCCTAGGTTACTTAAATTATATTGACCCCCTAGGTTACTTAACCCCTCGGTTACTTAAATTATATTGACCCCCTAGGTTACTTAAATTATATTGACCCCCTAGGTTACTTAACCCCTCGGTTACTTAAATTATATTGACCCCCTAGGTTACTTAAATTATATTGACCCCCTAGGTTACTTAACCCCTCGGTTACTTAAATTATATTGACCCCCTAGGTTACTTAACCCCTCGGTTACTTAAATTATATTGACTCCCTAGGTTACTTAAATTATATTGACCCCCTAGGTTACTTAAATTATATTGACCCCCTAGGTTACTTAACCCCTCGGTTACTTAAATTATATTGACCCCCTAGGTTACTTATATTATATTGACCCCCTAGGTTACTTAACCCCTCGGTTACTTAAATTATATTGACCCCCTAGGTTACTTAAATTATATTGACCCCCTAGGTTACTTAACCCCTAGGTTACTTAAATTATATTGACCCCCTAGGTTACTTAACCCCTCGGTTACTTAAATTATATTGACCCCCTAGGTTACTTAAATTATATTGACCCCCTAGGTTACTTAAATTATATTGACCCCCTAGGTTACTTAAATTATATTGACCCCCTAGGTTACTTAACCCCTCGGTTACTTAAATTATATTGACCCCCTAGTTTACTTAAATTATATTGACCCCCTAGGTTACTTAAATTATATTGACCCCCTAGGTTACTTAACCCCTCGGTTACTTAAATTACATTGACCCCCTAGGTTACTTAAATTATATTGACCCCCTAGGTTACTTAACCCCTCGGTTACTTAAATTATATTGACTCCCTAGGTTACTTAAATTATATTGACCCCCTAGGTTACTTAAATTATATTGACCCCCTAGTTTACTTAAATTATATTGACCCCCTAGGTTACTTAAATTATATTGACCCCCTAGGTTACTTAACCCCTCGGTTACTTAAATTATATTGACCCCCTAGGTTACTTAAATTATATTGACCCCCTAGGTTACTTAAATTATATTGACTCCCTAGGTTACTTAAATTATATTGACCCCCTAGGTTACTTAACCCCTCGGTTACTTAAATTATATTGACTCCCTAGGTTACTTAAATTATATTGACCCCCTAGGTTACTTAACCCCTCGGTTACTTAAATTATATTGACCCCCTAGGTTACTTAAATTATATTGACCCCCTAGGTTACTTAACCCCTCGGTTACTTAAATTATATTGACTCCCTAGGTTACTTAAATTATATTGACCCCCTAGGTTACTTAAATTATATTGACCCCCTAGGTTACTTAACCCCTCGGTTACTTAAATTATATTGACCCCCTAGGTTACTTAAATTATATTGACCCCCTAGGTTACTTAACCCCTCGGTTACTTAAATTATATTGACCCCCTAGGTTACTTAAATTATATTGACCCCCTAGGTTACTTAACCCCTAGGTTACTTAAATTATATTGACCCCCTAGGTTACTTAACCCCTCGGTTACTTAAATTATATTGACCCCCTAGGTTACTTAAATTATATTGACCCCCTAGGTTACTTAAATTATATTGACCCCCTAGGTTACTTAAATTATATTGACCCCCTAGGTTACTTAACCCCTCGGTTACTTAAATTATATTGACCCCCTAGTTTACTTAAATTATATTGACCCCCTAGGTTACTTAAATTATATTGACCCCCTAGGTTACTTAAACCCTCGGTTACTTAAATTACATTGACCCCCTAGGTTACTTAAATTATATTGACCCCCTAGGTTACTTAACCCCTCGGTTACTTAAATTATATTGACTCCCTAGGTTACTTAAATTATATTGACCCCCTAGGTTACTTAAATTATATTGACCCCCTAGGTTACTTAAATTATATTGACCCCCTAGTTTACTTAAATTATATTGACCCCCTAGGTTACTTAAATTATATTGACCCCCTAGGTTACTTAACCCCTCGGTTACTTAAATTATATTGACCCCCTAGGTTACTTAAATTATATTGACTCCCTAGGTTACTTAAATTATATTGACCCCCCAGGTTACTTAACCCCTCGGTTATTTAAATTATATTGACTCCCTAGGTTACTTAAATTATATTGACCCCCTAGGTAACTTAACCCCTCGGTTACTTAAATTATATTGACCCCCTAGGTTACTTAAATTATATTGACCCCCTAGGTTACTTAACCCCTCGGTTACTTAAATTAAATTGACTCCCTAGGTTACTTAAATTATATTGACCCCCTAGGTTACTTAAATTATATTGACCCCCTAGGTTACTTAACCCCTCGGTTACTTAAATTATATTGACCCCCTAGGTTACTTAAATTATATTGACCCCCTAGTTTACTTAAATTATATTGACCCCCTAGGTTACTTAAATTATATTGACCACCTAGGTTACTTAACCCCTCGGTTACTTAAATTATATTGACCCCCTAGGTTACTTAAATTATATTGACCCCCTAGGTTACTTAAATTATATTGACTCCCTGGGTTACTTAAATTATATTGACTCCCTAGGTTACTTAACCCCTCGGTTACTTAAATTATATTGACCCCCTAGGTTACTTAAATTATATTGACCCCCTAGGTTACTTAAATTATATTGACCCCCTAGGTTACTTAAATTATATTGACCCCCTAGGTTACTTAAATTATATTGACCCCCTAGGTTACTTAAATTATATTGACCCCCTAGGTTACTTAACCCCTCGGTTACTTAAATTATATTGACCCCCTAGTTTACTTAAATTATATTGACCCCCTAGGTTACTTAAATTATATTGACCCCCTAGGTTACTTAAACCCTCGGTTACTTAAATTACATTGACCCCCTAGGTTACTTAAATTATATTGACCCCCTAGGTTACTTAACCCCTCGGTTACTTAAATTATATTGACTCCCTAGGTTACTTAAATTATATTGACCCCCTAGGTTACTTAAATTATATTGACCCCCTAGGTTACTTAAATTATATTGACCCCCTTGTTTACTTAAATTATATTGACCCCCTAGGTTACTTAAATTATATTGACCCCCTAGGTTACTTAACCCCTCGGTTACTTAAATTATATTGACCCCCTAGGTTACTTAAATTATATTGACTCCCTAGGTTACTTAAATTATATTGACCCCCCAGGTTACTTAACCCCTCGGTTACTTAAATTATATTGACTCCCTAGGTTACTTAAATTATATTGACCCCCTAGGTAACTTAACCCCTCGGTTACTTAAATTATATTGACCCCCTAGGTTACTTAAATTATATTGACCCCCTAGGTTACTTAACCCCTCGGTTACTTAAATTAAATTGACTCCCTAGGTTACTTAAATTATATTGACCCCCTAGGTTACTTAAATTATATTGACCCCCTAGGTTACTTAACCCCTCGGTTACTTAAATTATATTGACCCCCTAGGTTACTTAAATTATATTGACCCCCTAGTTTACTTAAATTATATTGACCCCCTAGGTTACTTAAATTATATTGACCACCTAGGTTACTTAACCCCTCGGTTACTTAAATTATATTGACTCCCTAGGTTACTTAAATTATATTGACCCCCTAGGTTACTTAACCCCTCGGTTACTTAAATTATATTGACCCCCTAGGTTACTTAACCCCTCGGTTACTTAAATTATATTGACCCCCTAGGTTACTTAAATTATATTGACCCCCTAGGTTACTTAAATTATATTGACTCCCTGGGTTACTTAAATTATATTGACTCCCTAGGTTACTTAACCCCTCGGTTACTTAAATTATATTGACCCCCTAGGTTACTTAAATTATATTGACCCCCTAGGTTACTTAAATTATATTGACTCCCTGGGTTACTTAACCCCTCGGTTACTTAAATTATATTGACTCCCTAGGTTACTTAAATTATATTGACCCCCTAGGTTACTTAAATTATATTGACTCCCTAGGTTACTTAAATTATATTGACCCCCTAGGTTACTTAAATTATATTGACTCCCTAGGTTACTTAAATTATATTGACCCCCTAGGTTACTTAAATTATATTGACTCCCTAGGTTACTTAACCCCTCGGTTACTTAAATTATATTGACTCCCTAGGTTACTTAAATTATATTGACCCCCTAGGTTACTTAACCCCTCGGTTACTTAAATTATATTGACCCCCTAGGTTACTTAACCCCTCGGTTACTTAAATTATATTGACCCCCTAGGTTACTTAAATTATATTGACCCCCTAGGTTACTTAAATTATATTGACTCCCTGGGTTACTTAAATTATATTGACTCCCTAGGTTACTTAACCCCTCGGTTACTTAAATTATATTGACCCCCTAGGTTACTTAAATTATATTGACCCCCTAGGTTACTTAAATTATATTGACTCCCTGGGTTACTTAACCCCTCGGTTACTTAAATTATATTGACTCCCTAGGTTACTTAAATTATATTGACCCCGTAGGTTACTTAAATTATATTGACTCCCTAGGTTACTTAAATTATATTGACTCCCTAGGTTACTTAAATTATATTGACCCCCTAGGTTACTTAAATTATATTGACCCCCTAGGTTACTTAACCCCTAGGTTACTTAAATTATATTGACCCCCTAGGTTACTTAACCCCTAGGTTACTTAAATTATATTGACCCCCTAGGTTACTTAACCCCTCGGTTACTTAAATTATATTGACCCGCTAGGTTACTTAACCCCTAGGTTACTTAAATTATATTGACCCCCTAGGTTACTTAAATTATATTGACTCCCTAGGTTACTTAACCCCTCGGTTACTTAAATTATATTGACCCCCTAGGTTACTTAAATTATGGAAACGACATCATTTTAGAGAAAACTGGTACTTGTTAGCCCTTCCCACTCTCATTTGACTCCCTCTATATACAGGCTGTATGACATCATCTCCACAGGCTGTAGTCAGGGACGGTACAGCTCTGCCTGCAACCGAACCTGCAACTGTATGGAGCCCTGCGACAGGGTGACAGGCGCCTGCAAGAGTTGTCTGCCCGGGTTTGACGACCCGAAGATAGGCTGTCAAAGTAAACCCTGTCATGTCATGTCATGTCATGTCATGTCATGTCATGTCTTTGTCGATTAGCCGTACCCACATATATTAGTCACACAAAAATTCCGGCAACCTCTATTAAAATCTAAACAAATTGGTTGGAATAGAAGTTGGTATTGGTAAGGAATAATTAGTGGGTGTGAGTGTGTATGTGTGTGAGAGAGTGTGTGTGTGTGTGTGTGTGTGTGTGTGTGTGTGTGTGTGTGAGCGTGCGTATTCAAATTGATCTTGGTAGACTTGAGGTATATTAAGTGTGTGTGTGTGTGCGTGTGTGTGTGTGTGCGTGCGTATTCAAGTTGGTGTTTGTGGGGAATAATAAGTGTGTGCGAGTACGTGTGTGTATGCGTGTGTTTGAGAGTCTGTGTGTGGGTGCGTATTTGATGGTATTAACACGCTACAATGACACGGCGTGGCCTAAGCGGTAGAGCGCTAGGCTACTAAACTAGTAAAACGTCCCTGAGTCCACCCAGCTCTGATGGATACCTAACTTAAAGTAAAAGCGGCTAGGCAAAGTGCTGACCACACCTTCCCTTCATATGCCGATGTCAAGAAACATATGAACACTACATCATTTACCAATTAATCGCTAGGTCTAGAAAAGGGTTCTAGACTTTTTACCCACTACAACTCCAGGATGTGTCGTCCACAGCCTGCGTCCACGGCAGGTTCGGTCCCAAGTGCAGCAGCATCTGCAACTGTGTCGACAACTGCAACCAACAGACAGGCGCGTGCAAGAAGTGTTTGCCTGGTTACCTGAACCCTGACCTTGGCTGTGTCACAGGTAGGCACAGGTCAAACGTTGACAGGTAAATAGAGGTCAGACATTGACAGGTAAATAGAGGTCAGACATTGACAGGTGAATATAGGTCAGACATTGACAGGTAAATATAGGTCATTGACAGGTGAATATAGGTCAGACATTGACAAGTAAATATAGGTCAAACGATGACAGGTAAATAGAGGTCAGACATTGACAGGTGAATATAGGTCAGACATTGACAGGTAAATATAGGTCATTGACAGGTGATTATAGGTCAGACATTGACAAGTAAAAATATAGGTCAAACGATGACAGGTAAATACAGGTCAGATATTGAGAGGTTAATATAGGTCAAACATTGACAGGTAAATAGAGGTCAGATATTTGACAAGAGACTGACCTCTTCAGTTCTAGTGTGTAACTCCATTTATGCATACACTAGCTTTAGGAATAGTTTACTTGTAAGTCAATATTTTCTGCCCTCTACCCCCCCCCCTCCAAATCGTCTTATGTCATCTCAAAAAAGCCAGCAACCTTCCTTCCACTTCCCCCCCCCTCCGTGATTGTTTCTCTATATCCTCCATGATTGTGCCTCTATATCCTCCATGATTGTGCCTCTATATCTTCCATGCTTGTGCCTCTATATCCCCCGTGATTGTGTTTATATATCCTCCATGATTGGGTCTCTATATCCTCTGTGATTGTGCCTCTATATCCTCCATGATTGTGCCTCTATATCCTCCATGATTGTGCCTCTATATCCTCCATGATTATGCCTCTATATCCTCCATGATTGTGCCTCTATATCCTCCGTGATTGTGCCTCTATATCCTCCATGATTGTGCCTCTATACCCTCCGTGATTGTGCCTCCATATCCTCAATGATTGTGCCTCTATACCCTCCATGATTGTGCCTCTATATCCTCCACGATTGTGCCTCTATATCCTCCATGATTGTGCCTCTATATCCTCCACGATTGTGCCTCTATATCCCCATGATTGTGCCTCTATATCCTCCATGATTGTGCCTCTATACCCTCCATGATTGTGCCTCTATACCCTCCATGATTGTGCCTCTATATCCTCCATGATTGTGCCTCTATACCCTCCATGATTGTGCCTCTATACCCTCCATGATTGAGCCTCTACATGATTGTGCCTCTACCTTCCTCTCCCAGCCAGTGTGAAAACAATCATCTCTCGCTGTGTTGACTCCGACTGTACGGCGTGTGTTGCCGGTTACCGGAACACCAACAGATCCTGTACGGAAGGTGATGCGGAAATCCTTGTCGGAAGTTTGTCTTATCGGTATCAGGGGAGGGAATAGAAATGTATCTGATAAAAATGGTTTCGGGGAGAATGTAGATATAGGCTACTTGGTGATAATAAATGAAAAGTTTGAAAAGAAAGAGAGAAATGGTTGGGATAGTGAAGTAATAAACGATTAAATTAAAGTTAAAAATCTAGGCAGATATTAAGGAGGATTAATGATTAGTGATTAGCAATATCTCTTCAATCCATTCTTTTACCTAATCTTGTAATTGCCTTCAATTGTCCATTCACCCCATTTTGTCTATAGCAAAACATTTACCTCTATATTTTATATTTGTCTCCAAACACTTAGCTCTATATCCTACAAGTTACCTCTGTATGCTACCAAACACTTACCCCTATATGCTACCAAACACTTACCTCTATATGCTACCAAACACTTACCCCTATATGCTACCAAACACTTACCTCTATATGCTACCAAACACTTACCTCTATATGCTACCAAACACTTACTTTTATATCCTACCAAACAATTACCTCTATATGGTACCAAACATCTCTATATGCTACCAACCACCTCTATATACTATGTATACTATCAACCACCTCTATATGCTATGTATGCTACCAACCACCTCTATATGCTACCAACCACCTCTATATGCTATGTATGCTACCAACCACCTCTATATGCTATGTATGCTACCAACCACCTCTATATGCTGTGTATGCTACCAACCACCTCTATATACTATGTATACCAACCACTTCTATGTGCTATGCATGCCACCAAACACCTCTATCTGCTATGTATGCCACCAAGTGTTGATTCCCCTCTATGCCCTGGCAGAATGCCCTGTGATGACCTTCGGGGTCAACTGTAGCGGGGACTGTATGAAGGTGTGTAAGGAGGACTGTGTAGAACGTGTGTACGGCAAGTGTTGGGACTCGAGGATTGACGTGTTGCTTGACGCACCAGGTGTGTTGTGTTGGCTGTCATAGGTCATCATCATCATCATCATAAGGCTAGGTCATAGGTCGTCATCATCATCATAAGGCTAGGTCATAGGTCATCATCATCATAAGGCTAGGTCATAGGTCATCATCATCATAAGGCTAGGTCATAGGTCATCATCATCATCATCATAAGGCTAGGTCATAGGTCATCATCATCATCATCATAAGGCAAGGTCATAGGTCATCATCATCATAAGGCTAGGTCATAGGTCGTCATCATCGTCTTCATTGTCATCATAAGGCTAGGTCATAGGTCATTATCATCATCTTCATAACGTCATGTGTGTTGTGTTAGCTATCATAGGCCATCATCATCGTCTTCATCGTCGTTCTTCTCATCATCATCCTCATAGCGCCAGTTTTTTTGTGCTTGTTACCATAGGCCAGCATCAACATTTTTATCCTCATCATCATCTCCATAACGCCAGGTGTGTTGTGTTGGCTATCATTGGTCATTATCATCGTCGTCTTCGTCTTCATCATTTTCATAATGCCAGGTCATAGGTCATCATCATCAAACCAGGTGTGTTGTGTTTAACATTATAAGTTATCATCATCGTCTTCATCGTCATCATCATCATCTTCATAACGCCATTTGTGTTGTGTTTGGTATCACAGGTTATCATCATCGTCTTCATCGTCATCATCATCATCATAACGCAAGCTTCATCATCATCATCTCTCAGCGCCCATCGGCGTACGATTCATCAATAAGTCCGCGCCTGCCTCTATCTATAACCTCTGCCTGTTGAAATGTTAGTTCTCTCTCCTTCAACACTTTCTCCATTCATCTTCTCCATAGTTCTTTTGATCACCCCTGTTTTCTCTTGTCCTATGTTGTTAATCTGCGAGCAGTCCCAGCCAATGTGTCTGCTTTCATTCCTAGCAGGCAGTGTTTCTTCCAGTGTTTTTTTTTCTCCGGGGGGGGGTGGGGGGGGGGGGCTAAAATTTACAGGAGGGGGGCGGACAGATAAAAGTATATATTTTCTTTATAAATGCCATTTCTTTCGAGGGGGCGGTAGACTTTCTTCGAGGGGGGGGGGGGGGAGAAGAGATGCCTGGACGAAACTCTGTTAGCTGCCCCAAACATATCCAAGTCCGATAACTGCTGTTCATGGTCGAACGAGTTCTACTTCTTTATAATTCTTCTTAATTTCTCATTTCCGATGATGTTTGGGCCAGAAGATTATCGATGTAAATCGTAAGCACTTGTTCTAGAAAGCTTCTAGTTTTATCTTAATCTCAAGTGTGGTTTTCCGACATTCCGGCCATACAAGAGGACATGAAACATATTACTTTTAAATATGCGTAGTTTGATGGTTAATTTTTGCCTGGTTTCCATATACTTCATACTTCATAGCATACCATAGGATTTGTTAGCATTCCTTATGATACATATTACCCTTTTTTTATTTATCGGTGCGGATTTTGTCTTAAACAAAATCTTTTTGAAATAAAAAATAAAATTATTGCGTTGTTGTTTTTTTTTTTTTATAGATTACGCGTGGTGTTTACAGTGTGTACTTTTAAAAAAATCAAGTGTGTGGTTTCAATGTGTTATTTTTTTTTAACCAAGTGTGTTATTTCAATTTTTTTTTAATCGTATTATTGTTTCAATTTTTGTTTGTTTTATAGTCCATTTTGTGACCTGGTATATCATAAAATTTCCAATCGCCTTACGCCTGTGTAATACATTATATTGTATTGTTTTTGTAAGTTAACTCAATGTTTATGATCCAACTTTTCTATTCCCCCAGAAAACATGAAGAATCTGCTCTTCTTTCTACTCCCTCCGCCCTTGTGTTTGCTGATCATCTACCGACTATTCGGGTGAGTTCAATATCCACAAACGTTGATACAGCGAACTAGGTTATTTTTTTAGACATTTTGTACAGGGAGGTGGGGGTAATTGAAACTTCCAAGGGAGGCGTATTTAAAATTTTTGTTATATAAATCAGTGGCGTAGCCAGGATCGTCTCGTGGGGGGAGGGGGGTTTCCAATTTTTACCCGGGGACAAACTTTCGATGTGCACCCCTTCCCCCCTTCAAACTTTTGATTTGCACCCCCCCCCCCTCAAACTTTCGATTTGCACCCCCTCATACTTTATATATATATATACCAAGGGGTCTATAGGGGGGGGGGGTTATGACCCCCCCAACACCCCCCCCCCCCGCCTACGCCACTGATATAAATTAATACATTTTATTA